AACAATAACCAAAACCATAAGCTAATCAGCTGTGACACAAAACCCCAACTCAAACGCTAGCCTCCTGGCTTAAAACATAAACCCTAAGCCCTCTGGCTCGTCATTATTTCCATCCCTGCCAGGGCTCCTCGGCCTGGTATTCTCACCCCTAGAGCTGCTCAGGTCATCAGGCTTCCCACCTCTGCCTACTCCCAGCACAGCTCTCTCCTTCACAGCTGCCAGAAGGGAACTGCCTCTTGGCCTCAGCCCAGGCTGTTTATAAAGGCCAGGCCCTGCCCCCTTCCGGTCAGCTGACCTCTGATGTTGCCCCGGCAACCCACACCTGTCCTTCTTTAGGAGCAGGGCACTTCACTGCCCTGCGACACTATCTTTGTAACTCCTGGGTGACCGATTCAGCTCTGGTATGGACGAGTCTGAGAGCCTATGTCTGCAGGACAGGGAGAGGGGGTGTAGACTGGGATGAAACACTGTGGCATCCAAAGGGGATATAACTAGAAATAAAACCACCTCAAAACCATTTCTCCTGATCTCTCCCTCTTCACCAGAATGTTTATGTCATCAGGATCTGGCTCATAACCAAGCCTGCTTTCCAGACTAAGATCCCCAAAAGAAGTGTTACGAACCCCGTACAGCTGTGGTTTTTTACATCCTTCAGTGACAACACTTCAAGACAATGGAAGAATAGTCCTGCTCTCTAGATCACCAGTACAGCATTGCCTAGAAGGCTATATTAAGTCCTGGACACCTCTAATTGAAAGGCACCAATACATTGAAAGCACCTTACAGAAAGCAAAGAAAAGCTGTTGGGTTGGGAGGAAAGATTCAAAGTGGAGCTTGCCCAGTTCACAACACTTTGTAGTCCAAATGGCAACACACTAATATTCAGGGCTGTTTGAAGCAAGTGTTCTGATTCAGTCCATCTGCAAAAGCCACAGTTAGTTCACTTATGATCTAAATGTGTCCATGTCAGGAGAGCTCACGTGGTTTTAATGCACCTTCCAAAATATTGGAAAAAGCTAATTAAACTATAAACATATAACTCCATTTTGGAATTTTTCTCGTTGCATTTTTTCTTTACCAGATTTTGCTGATAGAGATTTTTTTTTTACCTGAAGACACTGAAGCACCCAGTACACTTCTTCAGATGGAATTCTGTTCTGTACACTCTGCAAATAATGAATGTTGGAGATGCTTCCTTTAATTGATTAGGTTAGTCTAGGACCATTGTTTTAGCTTGTGTAATGGACTGTAATGTTGAATGTCATGTACTGTAATGTTGTAACATGAACTACAGGTCTCAGAAGCCTCCAGGGGACTGGAGGAAGGAATTGTAATGTGTACTACACTTCCCAGAAGGCTTCAAGGGACAGGAGGAAGCAGAAAAGAAGTGACAGACTCTACTAGAAGATACCAAGGGTCTATGGGAAATAAGGGTTTAGGTTCCAGATGCAGCTGAAGATTTGGTTGATAAATGCCCGTGCATGTGCACAGCTGCAGTGCAACACGCAGGCATTAAGGAGCAGAGCCCGGCAGCTTGGAGAGCTGTGTGCAGGTGGTAAGTCTGGTGGAGCGGGTGTGGGATGGAGCTGTGGCTCATCAGGAAGGCATGGGGGGGCAGCTCCCACTGCTGTGCGCACCCCAGGAGGGCATGGAGGGGGCATGTGCCTCCAGATGTGCAGGGGTGTGGTGGGCAGGCTGCAGCTGCAGGCTGCAGCTTGGGAGCACCTAGCTTTTCTCGGTGGGAGCTGGGCTCAGGGCAAGCAATGGTGGTGTGGTGAGGGGGCTATGTGGGGGGGCTGCAGCCACCCCAAATTTTACCATAGCCCCTCCCCATAGCCCCATTCTAGCACCACTGCTCCCCACCCTGAGCCAGCCCACAGCTGCAGCCTGCCCTGCCCCATCCTGCACAGCTCTGGGGGGCACTTGCTGCCCCCATGCCCCCACCGGGGTTCATGCAGTGGTGGGAGCCACCCCCCAGCACCCTCTGGAGAGCCACAGCTCTGTCCTGCATCTACCCCACCCCAGCTGGGCAGCACCTGCCCCAGCCCCTGCCCCACTCCCTCCCTCACCCCAGGGGACGTTGATCTCCCCCCCAACCCCTTCCCTACCTCCACCCCTTCCACCACAACACAACACACTTACCGGTTACACTGAAAGCAGCATGGCTGGGGGGGGAGGTGGGAAGCGACCAGCTGATTCTAGATGCATATGCTCATCTTGGCGACCACACTGCACCATTTACAAGCAAATCCATACTGTGTACAAAAATAAAGGGTCACAATTAATTGACCATACATAACTGAAACCGTGCAAAAAAATATTGTGTAAATTGAGGCCTAACTGTAAAGCATTTTTGGAACCAGAGGCTGGTTGGGAGTCCCTCCAGAGCTGTAGGAGGGTTTATGGTTTCTCAAGTGTACGTGTCACAATATTAGTGTTCTCTACATGTTACCTGTTCTTGAGTGATTTCACCGCAGTGTCACTGTTTATTATCTGTTACCTGGATCCTAAGTGTATGTACCTTAATGTTAATATTTGTTTACCTGTGCCTATCCCTTTCTCCCTAGCCCATTGGCTTGTGACTCTAATCCCCACCATCCCCTGTATAAAAGTGTGATCTTCCCTTGCCAACTCCTTGTGCCAGTTCTTGGGGTTGTGGGGCTTAGTATCCTTGATAGGCATAAAAAGCATATCTATACATGTGCATCAAGGCTGCTTTGATGTGCTGTAATTACAGCACATTGGAACAGATGTATATCAGCATCCTTGTGTTGAAAAATGGCAGCAGGGGTGCTTTAACTAAAGCTCATTCAGTGAGTTTTAGTTAAAAGTGCCCCTGCTTCCATTTTTTCAACGTGGGGATGCTGATACATGTGATGCTTAATATGCTTTAATTACAGTGGCTCTTGGAGCTGCTGTAATGAAAGCACCGCCCCCCTCCACCTCCTGGAGCACATGTATAAACGCCCGAAGAGATGCATCACTTCCTGTTTTCACTGCCTTGTGGAACTCACTAGGATTTTCTCTGAATAAATTCCCTTTTTACCATCACACTCAAACCTCCTGCCTCTGTTTACAACCCACTGGGTGCATCTCCTGGAGACACTGACTGTGCAGTTGACTAATTAACTGTGCAGTAAATGTTTCAGAATCTACACAAGTGCCCCTATTTGGGCACACAAAACTAATAAACTCTGCACCCTGATGTGCAGTTTTTTCATGTGCAGCAGCACATGTGTAGATGCTGACCCAGATGGCTGGGGCAAGAGGGTGTTTTAGTGCAGGGTATGCCTGCTGGCTAGCCCCATGCTGAAGCATCAACATGCCTCAGCCAGCTCCTCCATAGCCCATTAAGCCCAGTAGGAGAAGCCCCACATTGGCAGTTTGACCCTCTGGGCCCCCTGTCAATCGGGCTGCTGTAACCCAGCTCAGTGTGCTGTGGTCCAGGCGCACATGTAAAGCATGCACCCTGGAGCTTCCTGGGAGCAATAGCCTATAGAGCAATCAACTCTGAAGTTTATTGTTGTACATTAATGGCATGTGTAGACAGACTCACTGAATCTAGCCCCATTCCCACTGAAATTAAAGAACTGTTGCGCTAGGTGCTGTACACATACCGGAAATAGGTTATTTCTGTCCCAAAAGCTTACAACCTTAGGATAACAGAGACAATGTAGCAGATAGGTAAAAAAAAGGAGAGGATTCTGGTCATCACAATAAACAGTGCTCACAGCAAGCCAGCTGCCTAATTCTTCCCAAGCACAAACATTAACAGTTGCTGGCTCAGGATGAGGAAGCTGCAGTTTCTCTGTCTTATACACTCGCCCAGTTCTGTTTTGCATGCCAGTGACACTTGATTTAGACCCAACATCTCTTGTCCAATTCAACTCCAGGCAATGCAGCAATTTAAAGAAATATCCAGTGTTTCTGCTAATTGGGACAAAACAGGCCTGTGGGGCCTTTCCTTATTATACTCCCTGAACAATGTTCACCGATCAGAACCAGAGATTCTACTAAGTACCTTGGGGTGGTAATTCACAAAGACAAAATAAGGAGTTTGCAGATAATTTGTCTTTCCTTCGATCCCAGAACTGTCCTGCTGAGCAACACTGGCTCTGTCCCTAATTGGCAACATTAATACAATTAAGACGATAATTTTGCCCCGATTTGCTTCTGTGTTACAAAGAATCACACTCTGCATCCCTCAACACATTTTTTCTGTGTTAAATTCTATCATTAATTCTTTCCTTTGGGCTACCAGGCAAGTCAAATCTCACCTTCAGACATCACAACCTCCTTCAGATCAGGAGCTCTCGCTCTTCTTAACTGTTACATTTTTCACACAGAAGACGTAGAGGTCCTGGGAGGGGCAATGAAAACTATTATTTATTTGAATTTAAACACAGTATTAATGAATATCTGGTGAAAACACTGGGCATGTGGCTTCAATTAAAAACAGAATACAAAAAAGAATTACAATGTCAAAACAACATCTCATTTCTCCCTGCCCCATAGCAACCGAACACCCCAACCAGGACAAAAATTACAAATCCTGCATTCCCATTAACCAACCCCTCCTTCCTCCTACACGGGGTCTCAGTTATCCTCTCTGATCACCTGGTAAAGCAGGTTGGGGGCTGTTGTGGGGAACTAGAATGGCTCTCCTGAGCCAATTTAGAAGGAGCTTGCAAAGACAAAGAAGATGCAGTGGAGAGACTAGAATGGCACTGACAGACAGGGCCAAAGGAAGGGTGACTCAGTGACTCAGAGTAGAGGTCACATACAGAAGAGAAAGAAAATCCTAAATATTGTCAAGGGCTCTAACCTAAGACCCAGAAGCGTTCAGGATTGGGATGGGGAGACATGAGGGGAGGCAGGTCAGAACTGGAACCAGAAAATGTGTACAGATGGTTTATTGTGTAATCTAGGTCTGCATAACTACTTGTGCCACCTGCAGTTGGCAGTGATTGCTTTTGGAATCTTTGAAATATGGGTGCTACAATTGTCCTGTGTCCCTGAAGAGATGAGTTGAACTGTAATCCAGGGTGCCCACAAGGTTGGATAGAGTTGGCTAAGCTAGTGGGGAACCAGCATTAGACTCAGGGCCTAGGCAGCCTGTATTTGGGGTCTTGCAGAATGGAGTGCTAGACAGAAACCAGCACTGTGCTGCAGAGCCTATAGAAAGAGACAGGGTCAGAGCCTACTCAGACTCAGGGATCTTAAACCACATGCATCTAGTATGTAAGACCCAAACACAGCAGTCTGGCAAGGACACAGTAGTATATAGGGCTTTCCTAGAGCTGAGATGCTTGCCTTTACAGTTTGCAACATACATGAACAAGGAGGCACTATAGGCCAGAGTCTGCTACTTTTGTTAGGGACATGAGCAGACTTAATAGTGCCTGTACATGAGCCCGGAGGCCACTTTGACTCACTGTAATTACAACCTGTCAGATAGGGTTGCCAACTCTGACTGAAGCTATTCTGGGAGATTTTTCCCCCCAATATGACATAATATGATTGATAGGGTGCACCAATAGAGACTTTCTGGGCCGATACCAATGGCTAATTATTAACCAGCCATATCATCCAATACTGATCCAATTGCTGATATGCAGCCGGGCAACTTGGAGAGCACCGTCTGGCTGGTAAGTCTGTTGTGGGGGAAGGGGCAAGGGGAGAGGGAATGGGTTAGGAGGACAGATTGAGGCCCCTGCGGTGAGGGAGGGAGTGGGGCTGGCACTGGGCCAGGGGCAGAAGAGGGCTAGGGTGGGGGCTGCAGCCACCCCACGATTTGCTGTAGCCCCCCTCCCAGTGCTACTGTTGCCCACCCCGAGTGCAGCCCCAGGTCAATGCCCCCACCAGGAAGAGCCAGGGGCTGGTCCCTGGCCCCAGCCCACAGTGGCAGCCCACCCTCACCCCGTGTGCAGATCCAGAGGCACACCCACTCCATGCCTTCCCAGGGTGCATGCAGTGGCAGGAGCCACCACCCTCTCCCTGTGCCCCCTGGATGATCTGCTTGCAGCTCTGTCCTGTGCCCCACCCCAGCTGTGCAGCACCTGCCTCTGCCTCTGCCCCAGCCTCAGCCCCACACCTCCCTCACCACTGGGACCTCAGTCTGCCCCTTTTCCCATGCCCCTTTCCAGACAATAAACTTACCATCCTGAATTGGCTGCTCTTCACACTGCTGGGCTGCACTCGTGGTCACCTGCATGCTGCTCTGTGGCTGTACACATGCACAAGGCATTTATCGGCGACCTTACTGGCCACATCAGCCAAAAAAAGCTGATTGCTGATACAGTCAATTTTCCTTATATCAGTGCCAATCCATTATGGGACCAATGTATCGGTGCACCTCTAGTCATTAATTGTACTGTTCAACCTGTTCACAATATCAGTCTTCTGGATTCCTTTCAATAGTCACTCAGAGATCAATTCCGACAGACTCCTGGCCAATCTGGGAGGGTTGGCAACCCTAATGTTGGAGCAGACTTGATTAATCAAGTTTGCTAGAGTTTGGTAATTATTGTCCTTCAGCGGCCTCCACATCTCGTGTATCAGCATCCCTGTGTTTCAGAAAGGCAGCAAGGGTGCTTTAACTTGCAATGAGCTTTAGATAAAGCACCCTGTCACCATTTTGAAGCCTGGGGATGCTGATACTTGAGATGTTCTGGGTGCTTTAATTAGAGCAGATCTCAGAGCTGGAGCATGTGTAAAAATGCCCAAAGTGCCTCAGCGCAATTCTATTCTACCCTGCTCAAGGCCCTGATAATCAGTTAATGCAAAAGGTGGGTGAGCCCTCCTCCTTCTCACTGCTTTTCTATGAGTCAATATTAAGGATCAAATGACGCTGTTACAAAAGTGGAAGCATTAGTGGGTTTTCAGAGGCATGAACAGAATAGAACAGAATCACACTTGGGTACCTAAGTCCTCTCATTTGCCTAATAGGTGGAATAGGATCTGGCCCTAAGTGATGCTAAAAAGCATTACATTCAAAATGGATCACAAGAAATTTTTCTTTTTACATGATGACCAATTATCCTTCAAAACTCACTGCTATTAACTATGAGGCAGGCCAAGAACTTGGCAGGATTAAAAAAACAGGTTAGACAGGTATACAGAAAACACAGACATTCAAGCTGGATTAGATAAAATGCAGCTCTCTAAGAATGATCTGAATTCACCTGTTTCATGGCAATAGTTACTGGCTGCATGGGGTGGAAAAAAATCTTTGTTTATTGGCTAAATCCAGCCCATGAAGGCTAGTGTATTTTCTTCTGAAGCATCTGCTAGTGACCACTGTTGGAGACACATTAAGATGGACCCCGATCTGATCCACTATGGCAACTCTTGTCCTTCAAAGGAAAGTGGATAGTTACTAAATGGTATGGACTGTCTGACGAATACAATTTCATGAACGTGACAGATATGTGCATTTTTCAGGAATGTCAATGACTTCCCCAATCATTCTTGAATGAAGAAAAGTCTGGCCGCAAACATCACACTTTAAGGCACAAAAATATTCACAGATGTTTTGTTGTACACTCTGACCAGACCTATGCCTGGGTATTACTAGATCATAGGCCCAATTCTACACTCACATGCTCCAGTTTTGCATAAATACGCTGGCTCCAAAAAGAGCTATTCCTGATTACACCATTGTGTGAGGACGTTGGGATCCTGCATGTCAATTGTAACACTAACCACTAATACAGTATTTGCATTCAGTGCAGAAAAGCCTGTGATCTTGCATTGCCTTGGCGTTTGTCTCCTCCAAATCCCCCTGATAAAAATCTCAGAGAGGAAGCCATTGGTTTAGTTCTTCCGCCTGCCCAGCTATAACAATGAT